TTATTACACAGCTCCTCTTGTGGGGGGTTGGGTTGTTTGTGGAAACTCCTCTTGTGGGAGGTTGGGTACTTTGATAATGAAGCACTTGGTTAGTGTGGGTTGTTTTTTGATAACTTGCTTTTCTAATTTGCTGTCGTTTTCTCTGCTGACGACGATATCCAGGAAGGGGATTATGTTGTTGTTTTCATCTTCCTTTGTGAATGTTATTCCTTTGAAGATGTTGTTGATTGTTTTATGTGTCTTCTCTAGTAGTTCCTTTCTTATTATGATGAAGGTGTTGTCTACATACTGGATCCATACTTTTGGTTGTATGTGTGGGAGTGCTGTAGTTTCTAGACATTGCATTACGAGTCTCTGCTGTAAATCCTGAGAGTGGTGATCCCATGGGTGTTCCTCTGATTTGTTGATATATTTGTTCATCAAACTGAAAGTAGGTAATAAGGCAGAGGTTGATGAGGTTCATTATTCTGGGTATTTCAATTTTAGTGTATTTGACTAGGTCAGGTGTGTTGTGTAGTACTGCTTCCATGGATTCTTTTTCTAGTTCTGGATCTATGGATGTAAAGAGTGCTGTGACATTGAATGAAACCATAATTTCATCTTCTATTTTTAGGTATTTGATTTTCTGGAGGGACTGTAGTGGGGAGTTGATCAAATTTTTGCTCCCCTCTGTGAGATGTCCAAACTTTTTTATAAGTTCTTTGGCTATGTTGATGTTGGGGTCCCTGGTAATGATACAATTAGACAAGAGTTCTTGATCTCTACAGATTTTAATTAATCCCATCTTGGTTTAAGACATTTTAGACTGCATTCTTATATTCTAGTTGTTACCAGATATGAAGATTACAAATGAAAACTAATATTTGAAGGAGATCAAGTTTCTGAGTGAGGTTTTATGATGGACTAGACATCTCTGAAGGAGTGGAGATGGCACTGCGACTGTGAATGGCAGCCAGTGGAGATTTCTGGCTGGCAAAGTCTTTCCAGATAAAGGAGAGACCGGGAAATTGCCCACCTACATCCTGGACTGCTGCTCCTCATGAGGAGACCCCAGGATGGAAGTCTTGTGGTTTTCTCGTGAGTAGAGTGGAAGGGGGTCGAGGGAGAAACCGCTTGCTCGCACACACAAGTGCAGCCTTTTGAAGGACACTAAGTTTATAATACCCTCCTATAAGAGTAATAGGGTTCTCTTTGCTTTGAGCTCCAAAAAGATTTTTTTTAATAAATCATGTTTAATTTAGTTTGTAGAAAATTTATTTTTATCAAACACAGTGAAAAAGGTTTCCCATTCCTTCCTTCCCCAGCTGCCAGTTATGTCTCCCTCACCTGAACACTCTCTGGAGGGATAGAGAGCCTTCTTGAACATGATGCAAGGAGATACCATTTCTAATAGAATTGCACCCTTTAGAGGTTAACTTAAGCAAGTTTCAGAAAGAGCTTTAATGTCCTCTTTCTCCAGCAGCTATTTATATCCTACTTACCATTTGGGGGATAAGTAGCACGATGCTCATGAATTCCTGAGTTATTTTTTATGATTATTTTAATTAAAAAATAAATGAGTAACTAACATACTGCAAAGAAAAGCATCATCTTTACTTACATGAATGGCTTAACTACCACATAGGCATTCTTAAAAAATAACAGTTATGTATATGTACAGTTCATAACCTTGCTATGAAATGTGTGGATTTTTTTTTTTGGCATAGAATAAAATATAGATAAGTTGGGATATTAGAGAGTATCCTGGAAGACTGGAGAAGGATGGTGGCAAGCCATGTCACCTGTTATCTTCTAGTAAATGGATATTTTATGATTAACCATGCACATCATTGTAGCTAGTTTATAAAAGAAAAACCCCAATCCTTGCTATTATTCTCAACATTCAGAATGTGCTTACTGGCCTAGAATGTTACTTAACCCATCTCTAGAAAGAACTCTGAGGAGTGTAAAGGTGGAATAGAAACAGGGAACTATTCTTCCATGAACTTCCTTAAGTTAATTTGCTTTAAGATAATCTCATCTCTAAATTACCTATTTCTGTTGATTATTTTAATCTTGTAATATGCTTAATTTTAGTAATAACATCTTCAATTTGTACAGTCCAAATTAAAATTTGAATTAAACTTTGTGACAGAGTTCAGAGAAACTCATTGTTTGGCAAGTGTGTACAGCAGAGTTTCTCAGCTTGATGTTCTTCATATGTATTGGGATTACAATTCACAGAATTCCCAGCTAGTATGGCTACTGAAAGGCCTCATTTTGAAAAAGACTGAGTACAAGAATGTGACCTTAAATGCTTTTCATGGACAAAATATGAAAAGTATTATTTACTGATACTTTACAGCTTTACAATACAGCTACAATCCATGCTTTAGGGAGCTGGTTTATTTCAATAAGCTGTTACTAAATAGCTTTAGAGTTGGACATAATGCTCTGATCCATTGAAAACAGGAAAAAAGCTTCTGATTTCCTCCTTGTAGCTAGAAGATGGAAAGAGGGAGAAGTACATGAGACTGAGCCTAATCTATCTAATATTAAAACATAATTTTAGCATTGTGACTGAACCAGTCTATTATATATGTAATATGATAAGTTCTCATTGTGAGAATGCATGAGAATTATTTATTTATTTATATTTCAAATTTAGTCACCACCCATCTCACTCAATGAATGACTTTGGGCGGTTTACAGTAAAAACAAAAATAAATACTGGTTAAAATACTGATTAAAATACAATAAACCAATGTTCAATTAATAAATAACATCTTCTGAGGTAATTGATGATTGTTAACCTGTGGGAGCATCTTCAAGGTGCCAGCCACCCCCAGGGTTGGTTATCCCTCCTCACACCCCAATAATATAAATTATTGCTTGATAAATTAATAAAAATCTTGCTAGATTGTGCTAACCCATAATGTGGATGCTCTTGAAGTTAGAAATTCATATCTACATAGAAAGGAGCATGACGTTGTAGCAATGGGGGGACATTAACCAGCCTGACATGTATTGAAAAACAAACAACATCAAGCAGGGTCTTTGCAGGAATTTCCTGACTTATTTTGCTGAGAACTCTTTCAGTGGGTAGATGAAGTCACAAGTGGATTAACTATTTATGACTTAATACTAATCAATAGGGAAGTAACCATGTAATGATAGAGTTCTTGATTTTAAGGGAAACTAACATTGAGCATAGTCAAATTCTTATACCTTGGACTTCAGAAAAGTGGATTTCAATAAAATCAGAGCAGTAATAAATACAGTGGTACCTCGGGACACGAACTTAATGCATTCCGTGACTCTGGGCGTATCCCGAGTTGATCATAACCCGACGCAAATTTCCCCATAGGGTTCAATGTAAATCTGGTT